CACAATATGAATAATATTAAATAATATTTCAGAATTAATGAATAATTATTTATAACATAGAGTTGGTTTAGGGGTCCCAAATCCCAACATGGCATTTGGTATTAGGTGAAAGATGGAGGATTTCTAAATGTGAAGACTTAGTTAGATTATCCCAATTTAGCTAAACATGTATGCAAGCACTTGAAAGTATGTGGAGAAGAAGATAGTTGATAAGAAAAAGAAACATATTATAATGTGAAGAATGGGCTTTTTAGGTCCCATAAACATGTGACTTGACATTATCCTTAATTTCGCTACCTTCCCTTTTTGTACCCAACTCAATTCGAACTACTGAAATGTCCAAAAGCCCACTGGGGAACATGGGTTGGGGTCACAAGTTAGTGAAGTTGGCATTTGGCACAGCTTATGAATTGGATTTTGTATTTTATGTAACAGATATATCATGCTGGTGTGTGTATCCTTCTGAAGTGTGCCCTTCTAGAGGCATCCTCGGCTCACGTTAATAATTCAAGCTCTTCATTCTGTATAGCTAGTTGAGTAGAATATTCATATAAAAAATTAGGATGATCAAATATCGATAATCACATAATCACATGTCTTTTTTTATATATATAAAAAAAGCAAGTATGATTTTAGCAACAAATTCTCAAATTTTTAAATTCAAATATAATTTGATCACATGAATACTGATATTCAATCAATTTGATTTTTTGCATAAATAGTTTTCTCCGTGAGTGATCATTAAATTGGGCCTGGAATAAGGTCCACCAAGGCACAACAGACCCGTTTCCCTCTCACGTACAAGTGGGTTTAATGTGAGCTCAATAAGTGTGGGCTTCATAAATGTGTGGGAGAGGGGTTCACTGCCCTACTACTACACAGTTCTAAAATTGGGCCAATAGGCCTCTGAGCATTGGGCCTTTATATTGATGGGCCTTCTTAAATTGTGTATGTGCTTGTGTTGTGGGTCTGATCACCATGTTCTGCATGATGCTAGCTTGGGCTTTTGGGCCTCTTCGAGGCTTGACCTTTTTGCCAATTGACTTTCCCTTAAAATTGGGCCGATAGGCCACCTAACATAAAATAATAATTACCACTAATAGATCTTACTAATTAGACCTATTTATTCAAAAGTTTTGAGTGAATTTTATTTGTTCATTATTATTATTTTTTTTTTAACCCGTTTACTCCTTGTTTTGATAATGAAATTTTTTTGAGACTTATTAGATGTGTTTTGTATTTGTAGAATAATAATTTGAGACTGGTAATGAAACTAAAAAAATTATCAAAGTGATAAATGATCAGGATAATTTGACTTTTGTTTGTTAGTTTTGATTTATTTTTAGTTTATTTGTATTAATGTTATCAAAATATAAATATAATGTAGAAGTGTAAAATATTTTTACAATAATAAAAGTTAGAGTAGAACATTTGATAAGTAAGTTTCGATTGATGCACGTTTGTAAGTATGCGACAGATTATCTTGAAATTTTTTTGCTCTTACCACTTCTCTAATTTTTTCAACTCCAATAACAACAGGTAGATATAGGGGTGTAAATCTGGCCTGACTTAGCCCATGGGCCTCGCAGGCTCCTACCAAAATTTGGACTTGGCCGAGCTAGCCCATGGGCCAAAACATTAGGCCCAGGCCTAGAGGTATTCAGGCCTTGGGCGGGCCGAAGGGCTGACGTAGTGGGCCTGGCCTCGGGTTGAGCCTTGAGTGGGTCTTAAGCAGACTGATGGGCTGGGCCAATGGTGGGCTTCAAAAATGACGGTCCAGGCTCAGACCCAGAGCTCAAGCTCGGACCTAACCGGGCTGCGGACGGGTTTCAGGCCATCCACGGGCCACGGGCCATTTTTACACTCCTAGACAGATACATAAACAAAGACAGAAACGAGAGATTACAAACCTAACATTGTTTTTCCCTATCCTTTGCCATTTCTATTTCCAAGGAAACATGTAACAAAAAAAAAGGGGAATTATATTGACATTGTATCAGTGAAAAATATTTACCAAAAAAAATAAAATAAAAAAATATTAGGTTAAATTATCAATAGATTTTAATAGTTGGACTTAATCTCATCAAGTCTTATTGATAATAAGTGTTATTAAAATTGATAATTAATAATTTTTTTGTCACGATTTTTATAAAATATTGCTAAAACTTATAATTAGTAATTTTTTTTTAAACTGTCATTAAAATTTATAATTAGTGACATTTTTTGTGACAAAATTTTTAAACTGCTTTTGAAAATTAACAATTAGTGATATTTTTTAATAATGTTTGATGACTTATTGGACAATAAATCTATCTATTATGATCTATACGTAAGTTTCCCAAAGTATTATAAATATTAATAATTAATATCATAAATTTTTTCAATAATATGTAATCATTTTTTAAAAACCACCTTTTGAACAATAATTTCCCTAATAAAAAAAATAGGCACACGATTGTAATGGTTTGGGGTGATCGTGAATTGGGTTTAGCCAGGTGGCATCTCATTAGCCGTCCATTCAAAATTAAGTGGATTGAAAAAAATTAATCTGTATCTGTCCATCGGTTTAGCGGATGAATATGATCGATTTGGCAATATGAAATTTACAAAATTTGGACATTTTTTTGAATTATAATTCATAACGTTTACAATTTCCAATAACTAATAATATGAAAAAATATGTATTATTTGTTTATAATAGACCATGGCAAAAATATTATTTTCTATTTTCACAAAACATATATGTTATTATTTTTATTCTATGCTGTTAGCAATTTATTTTGTTTCTTTGAATTTCATCTACAGACAGATCGGGTTCATGCGGGTGGAGGATGATTGATCCTCCATCCAAACCATATCCATGGATTTTGAAATATTTTATCCGCATTCGTTTGTCGGAAGACACGCACTCGTCCAAAATCAATAGGATTGGATCGGTTCGGTCAAGTTGGGTGGACATTAGGTGTGTTCGCGGTTCGGTTGCGGCCGGGAAATCTCTAATTCGCTGTCTGTCCGACAGATGGGCGGATTGAAAAAAATCAATCCATATCTGTTCGTCGAATTGACAGATGTGGATTGAGCGGATTAGCAGATGGATGCGAATCGGTTTGGCAATTTAAACTTTTACAAATTTTAAACATAATATAACAACTGGTCAACATTTTTTTTTGATAACAATCCAACTCAACATAACTAAAAGATTATCAAGTAAATTGTCAAATATCAATAATAAATACATATAAGAAAATTATACATTATCAAAACTATTTCATTACTTTTTTTTTATTTAAAAACTATTTAATTTGATTTTAAAAAAAATGACAAAATTAAGTCTTATATTTTCTACACAAAAATACTAAATATCAACATTTGTCATTTGATAAAAGGATTTCTAAATTGAAAACACAATAGAATATTTAAATTATTTTTTAATTAAAAACACAAACAAAATATCTAAATAAATTGAAAACACAAAATTTTATAAATTATTAAGGGTACTTGCGATTTGGAGATTCGATTGCGGCTAAAAGAGTTTTAAATCTACCATCTGTCTAGAACTAAACGAATTGAAAAAAATTAATTTATAGTCGTTCGCTCATCATCACGTATCCATCCAAAATACAGCAGATCTTATCATCACGGATCCGTTCAAAATATAACGGATCGGCCTAGTGGATATACGATGACCCCTAGTGATGGTACATTGACCTGGCAGCAGTTAAAACTGGCATGGCAATAGCCACAAACTAATGCTGAATTCTACTGTATATGTATACGTACATGTCTACATGTATACAAGTTTAGTTACTGCTCCGATTTAGACGACGATCATGGGGAACTCATCGTCGAACTCGGCAACGCCGTCCCCAAGGTCTCCTCCTTTCTCTCTCCTCTTTCTCTCTCCAAAAACTTCCTCTTCGATCTCGAATTTTGACCTAGAAAACAATCAATTCTTCATATATGTGTATATGCATCAATCAATGCGTGTGTTGTTTTTGTATTCTTTGATTTGAACTGTACTGCTAATTGAATTTCTGATTCGATCTTAGAAATCACACTCAATTGCTTAATTATGATTTTTTCTAGTTTTTGTGAGCTTTGGTTACTTGATTTCATTGTAGTATACTTGTAAATTTTGTACATAATTTCTTTGATGGAAGTGTACTGCTAATTGAATTTCTCATTCAATCTTAAAAATCAATGTTTGGTTTGGAGTGTTTAAAAAAAAAAAAAGTTTTATGAGTTTTCAATTTGTATTTTTATATTTTTAGTGATCTTTTAAAATATTTAATTTTTTTTTACTGTTTAGATCTACTTGATATATTTAAAAATATATAAAATTTATATAAAAATCTTTAACAAATTTATTGAATGTAACAAAATATGAAAATGTATTAAATTTTTATATTTTTTTTTGTATTTGATAAATTTTTTGAAGTTTTTTTTTTTTTTTTTCTAAAAATATTATAGGTGTATTAAAAAAAGTTACAACTTGTGCTTGCAAACTGGACAAAGCCCCAGTTTCTACTCTCTGGTCGTCAAGCTTCCACGCAACACATGTGGTATTATTCGAACTCAACTCGTGTTCAACTCGTTAAAACTTGTTTGAGTGGACTCGTTATATAAACAAATTAAGTTCATTTGATCCATATCATTGTTTGCTTCAGATGATGTGACCATCTTGTCAGCTCAATCGTGTGTGTTGGAGAGAGAGAGAGAGGGAGAGTCAAAACTCAGCAAAGAGTGAATAATACGTGCATTGAAGATTTAGACCAGGCCAATGGGTTTCTAGCCTAGCAGCATCTTCCTGCCTCTCACGTATGAGAGGTCAGGAATTCGATTCTTGCCAGAGGCGAGATTGGGTGGCAGTGCTCCTTTAGTTTTTGTTTGTTTGTACGACTTGCAACTGCTGCTTAGTGTCTCTCTTTCCCCTCATCTTTAAGAGTAGGCTAGATATATAACCTGTATTTCAAATCCTTAGTCAATCTCAAAATCAATAATTTAGAAGCCAAATTACTTGAAAATTTCTATATAGAAGCTAATTCATTTGTTTATGACAACACCACCAGTGGGCACCAGCAGAAAAACTGTGTTCCATAGGTTGTCAAACTTATTGCAAGAAACAACAAGAAGGGGTAAGAAAATCAGAACTTCTTGATGAACTCAAGAATGTGTTTGTTGATCTCCTCCGGCTTTTCTTGGTTGAGAAAATGTGCTACACCTTCCATGACAACAACTTCCTCCAATAGCGGCACATCTTTCTTGAATTCGCCATTATGTATGTATTCCTTTGCGCCCGGGATGTTATAGACCAAGTCCAAGTCACCCACAACAAACTTCGCAGGCACTTTCACTTGGGACCCTGTCCAGGGTGCTGTGAGTTCCCAGTTTCTGCAATGTAGAGGGGGAAAAAAGGGGGGAAATTGGTAAATCAACCACATGAATTGAACCTAGAAATAAATCAAGGCTAACAGTCCATTTGTTTCAGTAGAGAATATTTTCTAGAATAAAGCTTTGGAGAACGTTTTCAAACTAATGTGCTAGTGCTTGTATTAGTGGTGGGGTGGTGGAGGAGGAAGTGGTGGTGGTGATGGTATTGGTGGAGTGGTGGCGGCGGCGGCATTGGTAAGACTTAGTCCAAAAAATGTTTTTTACCTTTCAAAAATAGAAAATGTTTTCCACCCTAATAAGCTTGTTTTCTATTGAATATGGAAATGTTTTCCATTGACTTTCATTTTCCATTGTACCAAATGTTAAAAAATGGGTAAAATAATTTTCAAAAAAAAAAGTTTTTCATCGTAACAAACAGAGCAGAAGATTGACATAATTTATGGTAGGCCTAATTTAAAACCAATCAATCCCCAACTCATAAACTAATTGCACGCGCAAGATTTTAGATGTCATTGCATAACCACACCCTTGGATTTAAAAGTTTCAAAGGTAACTTACTGATGTATAACTCGGTAGTAATTAATTCCTCCAGTGAATCCATTCTTCTCAAATTTGCTAGCATAGTAATTGACATCTTCTTCCGACAACCAAGAAGGCAAGATAACTTGAGTATCAGGTGAATTGCCATCCCCAAATCCTTTACCTTTAGGGAAAAGAAATGGAGCAGGATCGCGGTATGTTAGGAATTTCTTGACCACCCTTCTAACACCAATCTGGGCAAACTCAGCTTCAATTTCCCCAGGTACCTACAACATAATTTAATTTAGCCAAGACCTTGTGTGTGTGTGTGTGCGTGCGCGCGCTCACACGTGCGCATATACTCAGATAGAGGAGAGAGGGGAGATAAGTTGAAACACATTGGGTATGGACTCAAGGGGTGAAACTCATTTGGCCAAATAATCCGATTTGATGGATGGGGCTATTTAAGAAGTAGTTGGGTTGAAATAGAAAAACTGAACCCAATCCAAACTGAACATCATCTTTCTGTTTGGTTTGGATTTGATCAAGTAAGTCGTTTGTCAATTTGGCTTGGTAGGGTTCTTTCACTTGCTTGGTTTGGTTGGATGCTCGGTTGAAAAACTTAGAACACAATTTGGTTGCAAATTGAATCAACCTCAACCGCATACAACCCTCCCATGATCACATGAATTGTTGCTATCTACATCAATTCAATTATGTCAATGCAACATAGTCAAATAACCCAAAGCAAAAACAAATAAATAGATAGATAGATGGTGTTAAATTTATCGAAGTTAATTCCACCAAATTCCTAAACAAATTGTCTAAATTTTGACCACAATAAATAATTGTACTAATAGTGATGTATACAAATAGAGCTAAACTTAAATTTTACATGAACTTGACATGGGATCTAATGCGAATCCAAGTTTCATCAATTCTTATATTCAACAATCAACCATTGAAAATATGGTTCTAATATAATAATGGATAAAACTATACACAAATCAAAGAGTACAGATCATCCAATCAATTCTTATATTCAGCAATCAACCATTGAAAACATAAACTATGCACCAACCAAAGAGTACAGATCAAATGAACAAGGCTTCACACATATAGACGCTATTTGTGTGTGGAAGTAATCAATCCCACAGGGAAAAAAAAAAAAAAAAAGCAGAAAAAAAAGATTTTATGAACCAAATTAATGAACATGGATTCAAAACTTAAAATGAAAAGACAAGAAAACCTGAAATCTGTAAATGTAGTGGTCATCGCCATACAATCCTCGAAAGATATCTACAAAGTTCATCGTAGGGCTTCTGGGAAGGAAATGAACACTCAAATTCACCATAGCCTTGACTCTATCAGGTCTGAACAGACACAAGTACCAGGCTATGTATGCTCCCCAGTCATGCCCAACCACAAACACCTTGTCTTCATCGGGTGCGATTTTGTCAAGGAGCGCCATGATGTCTCCAAGCACATGGAGGATGGTGAATTTAGTGAAGTCATTGACAGGAGGCCCCGTTGTGTCGCCGTAGCCACGGAGATCTGGGGCCACAGCTCGGTACCCTTGAGCTGCCATGTAGAGGATTTGGTGGCGCCAAGAGTACCAGAGCTCGGGGAAGCCGTGGAGGAATAGGACCATTGGGCCTTTGCCTTTTTCTGCTATGTGCATGTTTATGCCATTGACACTAATCATCTTATGCTCTATCCCCTCCATCTCTAACAGAGTGTTTGTGGTATTTCTCAGTGTGTTACCTTGAGATGTTTATGGCAGTCTAGAGATTGTTTCTCAGGAAAGGGACAAAGTAAAAGCTGTGAATTAAAAAACAAAATGAAATGATTAGCCGGCCATAGCAATATAAAAAATATACAGGACATTAGGAAAGTTAAAGAAAGAAGAGCATCACCACCCAATGCCATATGAAGCTGCCAATAATATTTGTTAACCCAACCATATGCATTTTTGGATAAAATTTTGCTGCTGTAATGGCAGATGGGAAAGAGAAGAGAGAGTGGGTTGTGGTGAAACTCAATGAATCATAATTATATTGGTGAAAATGAAATGTTTAGCCGGCCATAGCAACATAAAAAATATACAGGACATTAGGAAAGTTAAAGAAAGAAAGAGCATCACCACCCAATGCCATATGAAGCTGCCAAAAATATTTCTTAACCCAACCATATGCATTTTTGGATAAAATTTTGCTGCTGTAATGGCAGATGGGCAAGAGAAGAGAGTGGTTTGTGGTGAAACTCAATGAATTATAATTATATTGGTAAAAATGAAATACAATACAACATGTAATTCAATATAAAGAAACCCTCAAAATAGGAGAGAAAGCTCTAATAAATATACGGGGAATAAGATCCACTTAGATGGAGAATTTGAACCATGGACCTTCTAATGAGAGGCCGAAGTTTTGACCAATCGCCCTGTTGGTTGGAGAGCCACTTTTACTGTAGCAAAATTGGAAGAGGCATTTATAGTACATAAATATAGATAGATATATTTTCTTGAGATTTTTTCAATTTTTTTTTTTTTAGGAAAATTGCAAATCTGTGGTCTTTTCAAAAAAATATTTACAAATTTATAAAAATGTTTATACCTTTAGTTATTAAAGTTGATAAAGTTTACCACTGATTTGTAATTTTTTTTGAAAACATGCCCTGAAATGCAATTTTTTTTTTCTTTTGTTTTTTTTTACTGATCTTCAGATGAGATGCATAGTGGTTGGCCAAGAATTTAGCCTTATCTTCTTTTTCTCCTTCTGAGTTTATAATTATTTGAAGGTTATTTACACGAAAGCTTTCTAATCTATCAAGAAGTATCATTTGAACTCTTTAAATTATTGAGAAATATCACTTTACCTCTTAAATTATAAAAGTGTAAAATGAACTTCCTAAATTGTAAAAATGTATGAATTGGACCATCTAACGGAAGGAGCCAAAATGAAACATGCTGATAGTTTAAAGGATTCATTTGTACCCTATTATAGTTCAGGGGGACAAAGTAATATTTTTCAATAGTTTATGAGGTCCATTTGTATGCTTTTATAATTTAGGATGTCAAAGTGATATTTTTCAATAGTTTAGGAGGTCGTCATGTAAACAACCTGATAAATTTAGCACTTGTAGGCATAATAAAATTTTGGGTAAATTACACTTACATCCCCTGAAGTTTGGGTTTAATGCATATTACTCCTGATGTTTGAAAAATTACATTGACCCCTTGTCATTGTAATTATTTAGACAGAATTAACGTTAGTATTAAAAAGACATTGAATTTATACATTTTATCTTTTCTTGTTTCGCTTTACTTCTTCTGTTTTTTTTTTTTTTTCCCTTTGCTTTACTTTTTTTTTTTTTAATGTAATTTTCTCTGTGTTTCGTACCAGGAATTGTTACCTTTTATATAAGTAGGGGGTTTGTGAAATGAGGCTATTAACCACAAGAGTGAGAATGTAATTTCTATAACGTTAGGAGATGGAATATAATCGAATCAAGTCTTAGGGGGTGTTAGTGTAATTTATCCTAAAATTTTGAATCTCTCTTACAAATCTCATTTCCATTTTAGCTAATAGTACATCTCAATTTCTTGAACCCCCTCAAAATTAATTTAAACTTCACATTTCTCTTTATTTGTACATTTTTGTGTCGAGTGAATAAAACAACATTATTAACAAATGAAATGAGAGTATGTAAGAGCAACAACAAACTGTTTCTTCGATTTCGAACAGAAAAATCAATCCTCAAGGAAAAAAATAATTGAAAAGAGAAAAAAAAAAATTTTGATTTCAGTTGAAAGAAATTACAAGTTATCGTGTTCAATAACTTGAGCAGCTCTCCATTCTTCACCAGGGTTGACAAGCACAGGAACCAGCATTGAAGCAGAGCCGGTGCAGATAAAATAACCCTCATTTCCAAATTTGCGCGACAAGGAACCAGGGCTCGATACATAGATGTCCTCGAAACCAATCTTGATTATCCTAAAGAATAGCTTTCTCCCCTGATCAATGGTTTCATATTTAGAAGGTGCAGTGTTATAAAAATGTTTACGTCTTTCTTCTGGAGGAGCAGCGTAGACTCTACTGAGCTTATTCTTCAAAACGGTAATGGGCACGTCTTGAACGCTCCACACTCCAGGTTTCTTTTCAGGCTCGTACCCAAAAGAGAACCAGGCAGGTTTTCTTCATATTTCATGGCTTCGGATGGAGATAAAACTTGGAATGGAGACGGTAGGGGAGGGTGGGTGCAGTAAGAGCAAGATCGAAGTCCTTTGATTGATGTCCCGTCTCTCTTCTTGAACTTGAAGTGGTTGAGTATAGCACCCGTCAGTTTGACAGGTTTGCGGCCATTGTTTTTCACTATCACTGCTGTTGCCATGCTCACCGGGTACAGTGACACAACATAGCTTATGTCAAGATTTCCACTCTTGCAGCTCAATTCAACCTACAACAACAATGGAATTTTCTCCATAATTGTTAGTATATACTTATTACTTGTATATAGTTGTTAATTATAGCTTTACACACTTTAGCTTCTTTTAGCTTTTTAGCTTTCACTTTCGGTGGTGGTGGGTTTGGTATCCAATGCACCATTTCTCTCTATATAGAGAGAGTTCATCTCTTTGTAATGAATAACAACATAGCTTATGTCAAGATTTCCACTCTTGCAGCTCAATTCAACCTACAACAACAATGGAATTTTCTCCATAATTATTACAATTCTGCTTCCATTTCATATAATTTCTATTACTATTGATTTGAAATTTACAATTAGAAGCATCACTTTGTTTGGTTTGAAATTTTCAAAACCATATTTTTGAATTTTCAATCCTCATTCCCCTTTTTTTAGTGTTTTTTTTTTTATAAAATATTTTAACTTATATTTATTTATACATTTTAGATCCATTTCAACTAGATACATTTAACAAAAAAATCACCCAATACAAAAAAATATGAAAATTCAATATTTTTTTTTTACAGTGAATTTATATTGATCTTTATTCTTATTTTTTTAGTGAATTTATATTGATCTTTTTTCTATAACTATAATCTTTAAAGAGTACGAAATATTTCAAAATAACTACTTTTATATTGTTCTTTCTTCTTCTTCGAAACCATCATAATTCATCACTGAAAAACTTCATATTTAATCTTAGAAATTCATATATAATTAAATTTTGTGCTTATCCTCCTTAAAAATGATTATTAATGCTCAAAATTTGTAAAATTCAAAACACAATAATTCAAGTATACCTGGAGAGCATCAATGGAATCAGAATCCACATCCTTAAGGGTCCATTGCGAAGTGATGACAGGTTTGGAATTCGCTTCAGACTCAGACACGTCATTTATCACCAAACCAATCCCTCCTTTGGCTTTGGCTTTGGCTTCGGCTTCTTGACCAGGAGTGGTGTACAAAACCTCCTCAAAACCATCAGGTTTCCAATAGACATTGGGCTTGTAAGAAGTGACATGGCCGTCCGGTATTCGAAGCCTCAGTGAGCTTCCATTTCTCACTGTCAGCTCAACCTCCTCCCCCGACAACGGCCCTGAAAATTTAATCCCTTTCCAGCCAAACCGCTGCTAAAGACTACTCTCCTCCGCCGGGGAAAGGGTGGTTGCACCACCACCACCTGCAGCAGCACAGGCCTTTGTTAAGCTTAAGGTTGGTTTTGGAAGAAGAATACTGGTACTAGTATTAAAAAAGGATAGTAGAGAAGCCATGAGTTGACGAGATAATGACAAATATAGAAAACTAACTTACTTTATTATGCAGCAGCCTCTCCTCCATACACGTTGCACACATTATACACCAGTCACTCACCCCTCTATCCTTTTGTCCCTACTGTTTCTTCTTCTATTTTGTATTTGGATAAATTACACTCACCGCCCATAGAGTTTGAAAAAAATAGAATTAGTCCTATATTTTTGACATAATTATGCCGACTCCTCTTAATTCACATAACAATTAGGTGATTTATTAGTCATATTAATGAAAAAATGATATTCCTATATATTTTTAACTAAAATTATCTTTTTTTTATTTATTTTATTTTAGTGTATACCCACATTTGCATTAATTTCAATCATTTTAGTTATATTAAAGGGAAGTCAATGTAATTATGTTAAAAGTATGGGGACTAACTGTATTTTTCTCAAATCTCAAAGGAGGTGAGTATAATTAACCCTTTGTATTTTGGCATTTTTCTATTTTTTTAATACTTTTAGATTAGATAAATTATATTAATAGTCCCTATACTTTAGCCTTTGTATCATTTTAATCCTTATAATTTCAATTGATTCGACATTGACCATGAATTTATGATTTTGTTTCAAAAAAATAAGTTGAAAACTGACCCAAAAAAATTACTTTATTTTTGTCACTTTTTCAATCCCTCTTTCTTTACCTCCACAAGTTCTTAATCAAATTCAAGTCCAAACATAACAAAAATAAAATGCAGATCAAAGCCAACTAATATGTGTGTGTGTGTGTGAGAGAGAGAGAGAGAGAGAGATTGTATTAACATATGCATCGAAGATTTAGACTCATCGATCTTAAAATAATAATACATGCACTGAACATTTACGTTGTGTTTGATTAGAGAATTTGGGAAGAGAAAGAAAAAATATAGGTGAAACATTCTCCAACCAAACACAGCGTTGGGAGTCAAGTTACTCGAAAATTTATTGAAGAAACTTTTTACTCGGCACCAACAGAAACACTACAGTTTGTGTTCTGCAGCCTTCCCA